TTCTTGTGCACTCCATTTAAGTTTTGTGTGTGGGGTCATGCTTAGGTATTTGGCAGTATTGTGATAAGGCATTTGCACACCATTTATGTAAAGAGGCATATATATAGTAGTGCTGCATGTGAAATCAATATGTACTTATTTAGCTTCGTTTAATTTTATTCGAGATTTAGCTGTAGATTCAAATATTTTGTTCTCGCAAGTGATGCAGTTTGTGTTTTGCCGACTGACAGAACCGCAGTATCATCTGCAAAGGTCGCTGTAACACAGTTGTCACTACCCTCAGAAACACCAGCTTTATTTAATTTAAGCACTATGATTAATTTGAAAAAAAAAAAAATGGTCCCAAAAGTACGATTTTAAGATATTTGTTTAGTAGCCCGTCAAAATCTTTGGAAACGACGAGGAAGACGGCCGGGCAAACTTTTTTTCTTCAAATGCATTTTCAGTGACTCGAGTTCTCTGCACTTGATCAATAGTGGAGTGATTTTTTTGAAATCCAAACTGATGTACTCTTCTGTTTTTCTTACCTCGCACAGCAAGGAGTTTTCCATGAGCTTTGAAGCTTTTCTAGTTCAGAATGATAGATTTATATATATGTGTTCGTAAACGGACAAAAGGGCTAATTCCTAAACAAATTATTTATTAGTTTTTGTAAAATTTATTTACAAATTCAAACCTTATATGATTTTTATACTCTCGCAACAAAGTTGCTAAAGAGAGTATTTTAGTTTTGTTCACATAACGGTTGTTTTTTAAGTCCTAAAACTAAAAGAGTCAGATATAGGGTTATATATACCAAAGTGATCAAGGTGACGAGTAGAGTTAAAATCCGGATGTCTGTCTGTCCGTCCGTCCGTCTGTCCGTCTGTCCGTGCAAGCTGTAACTTGAGTAAAAATTGAGATATCTTGATGAAACTTGGTACACGTATTTCTTGGCTCCATAAGAAGGTTAAGTTCGAAGATGGGCAAAATCGGCCCCCTGCCTCGCCCACAAAATGGCGGAAGCCGAAAACCTATAAAATGTCATAACTAAGCCGTAAATAAAGATATTAAAATGAAATTAGGAAAAAAGGATCGCACTAGGGAGGGGCATATTTGGACGTAATTTTTTTGGAAAAGTGTGCGTGGCCCCGCCCCCTCATATCATCAAATGAAATCAATCCCACCAACAATTGCCATTACTTCGTATTCCGCCTAAAGCAAACTCAAATCTCATAGTTCCAAAGGTTAAATGGTTTTTCAATTAAGACATAAATGGCTGAAGCTACTTGAAGGATATTTGGTGAAGGCTAAGTGAGAGCGATGCTGCTACAATTTGGTTCATATTATTTTTCATGTGTTAAGACGTAGTCTCACCGATCATTGGTCACATAGATAAAGCAGCAAAGRCTCTTCATCGATCATGGAATAAGATTCTGAGACTAAATAGAAATGTAACACTAAGTTAAACTTTTCAGGCATTCATACTCTAGAAATGACATACTTCTCACGGGCGGAACGGACGGAAAGAGCATGTTCCATGTTTAGGGATTAGCCGACGGTRTATAGTAATTGATATTATATAGTTGCGTAAGTCTCGCTGATCTTCAGGACGTGGAATTTCTGAATGTCCCTCTTATCCAGATATTCCACACTTTTATGTAAAATGTCGTTCCTTAAACTGCGTTGTATCAAGCGTTTTAAATCCAGGTATACTTGTTTGATATACATAGATATATAAACTGTTTAGTTGACTTCTTGAACATTTCCAAGCCAACGGAAACTACGCTTGATTAGAATATTGCTCAAAAYCTTTCTGATTTCATGACTAAACGTGTAGTTGCAGCGTCACCATCCACCAATGAATTACATAACTTTTTYTCTGAAAATATATGATTGTTTGTGTAGCATAACGGTTTATCGATTGAAACAATAAAAGTTTAAATAGTTTGCTTTACTTCTTTCTCTATGCTCCCACTTGCCAACTTTTGATCGATCTGCTCTTAGCGGATGGACAC